CTTCAGCTCAAGGCTAGCACTCTACCACTTGCCACAGCGCCACTTCTGGCTTTTTTCTTTCTGCTTATGTGGTGCTGAGGAATCGAACCCAGGGCCTCATGCATGCAAGGCAAGTGCTCTACCATTGAGCCACCTTCCCAGCCCCTTATAGTTCATTCTTAATGGGCAAGCTAAGCCTTAACTTTTTTTACACACCATGAATAAGCAGATTTTCCGTTACCATTTATTAATTGGCTCTTTGTTTTCTTGGCTCTTCTGAGGATAACAAAGTTAATTTATTATTCACTAAAATTAATTCAGAATAACTTTGCCCCAATATATGTATGTCTCCTTGCTCTTTATTATATCAAAATACATACTTATTTTACAGACCCATTAACACAGTTAGCAATTACTGATTTATGCAACTGCCTTTTAAAGCAGATACTAGAAGAAGAGTTACAAATAAAATTATGTAAATATATCTAACTTCTCCTTCCTATCATTGTAGTTTTATTTGCCATTGCTTCTTTGTTTGTTATGGGTTTGAGGTACTATGTAGTATCCTTTCATTTCACTATGAAAGACTGACTATTATTTTCAAGGGACAGGTTTTTGTTCATCTGGAATGTTTTAATCTCCTTTATTTTAAAGGAAAGTATGTAATAGAATATAAAATTCATAATTGAGTTTTTTTCTCCCCCTCTCCAAAATTTTAGTAAACTTCCATTGCTTTCTAGCTTCTATGGGTTCTTTTAGTAGAATCTTATTTTAGTTTCTTTGTACTGTTATCTTTCTGTTGCTGTGTTTTTTTCTTTGTGTTTGACTTTCTAGGGTTTGACTATAGTGCTTTGAGATGTGAGTCAAATTGGAGTATTTTCCAGCCATTGTTTCTTTGTGTCAGTATTGGGGCATGAACTCATGGCCTTCTCTTTGCTGGTTAATTGGAGATAAAGTCTCAAGGACTTCCCTTCCCAGACTCTTTGAACTGCAGTTCTCAAATCTCACCCTCCTGAGTAGCTAGAATTACAAGCATGAACCACTAGCTCCCAATTCAAATACCTTTCCCTCCCTTCCTCCTCTCTACCCCTTCCCTCCTTTCTCTTCCTCTTCCTTCCCCTGTTCCCTTCCCGTCCTCTTGCCTGAGACTGTTGCCTAAACAAGGTTCAGTAGTTCCATTTATTTTGTGGTATTATTAGTTGCCAGAGTTTCTGAAATGATTAGTTTTTAGTTGTTTCTGCTATATTTTTGTTTTGAACAATAGTTTGTTGACCAAGGTCTCCTTTTCACCATTCTGGAAGGTAATTTCTATAGTCACCATCTTTTTACATAATGTAATACTAATTTGATCCTCCAATATAGAACTTATTCTTGTACTCCATAATAGGAACGCAGAATGGTTTGAAGAAATCTGTAACACTTTCTCCCAGTAAATTTTCATTGCATTGATATAGAGATATAGAGCATCTTATTGTAATCATCCATGCATTTTTACGTACTTTGTCTTCTGATGCTCTTTGTTTCCTAGGCCATGGGCACAGTCATTCCCTCTTTAACGGTGCTCTCGACCCGGCCCAAGGCCATGGAGATCATTGCCATAGTCATGAGATGAAGCACGGTGCTGCACACAGCCATGACCATACTCATGGTCATGGTCACTTCCATTCTCACGGTGAGTGCTGCCAAACACTTTGCATATGAGGAGAGGTTCTGTGTTGTCGCCTTTCAAGCAGCTTTGTCCCCTGTGCCAGTCCTTCCTTATCTCCACCTCCCTCCAGCCCATGGCAAACGCTCTTCTACTGTCAGTTTCTGTGCGATTTGACATAGATTCTTCATAAAAATGATATTATGTACTGTTTATTGTTCTGTGTGTCTAGTTTATTCATGATTTAACATGTCCTTCTCGTTTATCCATGTTGTCACAAATGGCAGGATTTCTTTTTCTAAGGCTAAATAATACTCAGCTGTATGTAGATACCACCTTTTTAAAATTTTTGTCCATTCATCTTTTGGGGTACATGTAGGTTGCCTGCATGTCTCAGTTATGGTAAACAATGCTGCATTAAACAAGGAAGTACAGGTATCTCTTACAGATCCTGATTACAGTTCCTTTGCATCTTACCCAGGAATGAGATTGCTGATGGTGTGGCAGATTTTAATTTTTTTGAGGCATGTCCATACTGTTTTCCATAGTGTCTGAATCAGTTAACATTCCTGCTTGCAGTGTGTAGTACAAGGATTCCTCCTTTTCTCCACATGCTTGTCAATACTTGTCTTGTTTTTTTTTTTTTGATACTAGCCATCCTGCCAGGTGTGAGATGATACCTCATTGAGGTTTTGATTTGAATTTCCCTGGGGATTAGTGATGTTGAACACCTTTTCATATACCTATTTGGCCATTTGTATGTCCTCTTTGGAGAAATGTCTGTTCAGTTCCTTTGGCCATTTTTTAATCAGGTAATTTTGTTTTCCTTTTGTTTGTTTGATTAGCTTTGTAGCTATGTAGTTTGCTTGTAATTCTGTTGGTCTGTGTTTGCTCATTTCCTGTTTTAGTCTCTAAAATTTGCTCGTTCATAATAATTGCACTAGTATGCGTTGAAAGCTTGCTTTTCCAACTTTTCACTCATGCATCATTCCAGATTAACTCTGAAAATTACATTTCTCTTACACATTCTTACATTGATTTCTTAAAAAAAAATTGTATATCCAAGATGGTGAATGTGTTAAACTTTGCACTGTGGTGACAAAACAAAAGAGAAAACAACTTTAAAAAATTCTTCATGCAAAGCCGGGTGCCAGTGGCTCATACCTATAATCCTAGCTACTCAGAAAGCTGAGATCTGGGAATCATGGTTGAAAGTCATCCTGGGCAGAAAAGTCCATCAGACTCTTATCTCCAATAAACTACCCAGAAAAAGCTGGAAGTGGTGCTGTGACTCAAGTGATAGAGTGCTAGCTCTGAGCACAGAGGTTCAGGGACAGTGCTGAGACCCTGAGTCAAAGCCCTAGGACTGGCACAAAGAAAAAAAGGTTGTTTGTGCATTTTTAAAGAATCTTCTTTTTGGGGGCTGGGAAGGTGGCTCAGTAGTAGAGCGCTTGCCTTGCATGCTTGAGGCCCTGGGTTCGATTCCCCAGCACCACATAAGCAAAAAGAAAAAAGCCTGAAGTGGCGCTGTGGCTCAAGTGGTAGAGTGCTAGCCTTGAGCTGAAGAGCTGAGGGACAGCGCCCAGGCCCAGAGTTCAGGCCCCACAACCGGACCCCCCCCCAAAAAAAAGAATCTTCTTTTTGGTATACCATATATGATACGTTAGAATGAAAGTTCTACATCATTGTGTGGACTCTGCCTTAGTGATTTGAGAGCCACTATCACCTATTCAAAGCCATAGAAGCAATTAAAGATCCTCCATCCTGTTTCTCCTTTAACTCTTAGTTTATTGCAGAGTTTTATAATAATAGAGTATATTTGTAATTAGCTGAACTACAAAGTCTGTCAAAATAATTCTGTCTCAGATTTTTATATATGGATATTAGCCATAAAAGACAACATTTAATTTGAAATATATATATATATATATATATAGGTATATGTATAATAATTAGATTTTTAAAAAATATTTTATAAATAAATAATACTCATTGGCCTAAAAAACAGATTTTGACATCAGTTTTTCACTATTATAAATAAAATACTAAGAAACTATAAGTAGAGCTTTCTACTGTTCCAGCAGTTTCAGTCAATTCTTTGAATACCTTCAACATTATATTCCACAAGTTTAGTGATCTATCATCAAACTTTTTAAGGAGATTGATTAATTGAGACTTCTAGTAACTAATGCCTACATTGCATTGAAAGCTAAGAATTAGAAATTACATTGCCTATGAAAGGATTTGCTGACTATCATCATTTCAAGTGGTGCCTTTTATGTTGCCCTGGGCTTTTTTTTGTACTTCTTGAGCTGTGCAAGGTAGTAAGATTGTGTATAGCTAAAAGACAGAAGAATCAGTCTATTCCTTAGGTATTCTCAGGCCAGTCGGTTTTAGAAAATTCTGCTTTTGAATTTGATGAACTAGAATTTGGGTCCCTTTTATGTGTGGAATACTTTACTCCTTAACCAAACTCTGAACAGTTCTTGGATTTAGTGGAATGCTTGCAAAATGTGCAACATAGCATGATTATATAACTCTAGAACCAGCCTCAAGGGAATTTCAACTCATTGTTGATGACATTCAACATAGACAGAATTGAAGTTGAAAGGACAAAGAAGCCATAAATTAGTGAAATTAGTTTGCATTGTCTTTCTCCTTAAAAAGACTACACGTTTCTTGAAAACAAGAACTATGTCTTATTGATCTTTGTTTTAACAAGATTCTAGCCTAGTCCTGGCATATAGATCAATTCATTAAGCGTTGTGTTTATTACTGTGTATATACCCTTTATGTGCTTGTTTTACTATCTTGCTGTGATCATTTTCAACCCTTAACTAAGCAAACCCAGGATGAGTGTGCACTGAATGCCTTCTGATTTTTTTTTTTGAGTATTTGTATAGGCTTTCCCAGTTGAGCATCCTGAATGCAAACTCTGAAATGCTTCAAAAGCTGAACTTTGAATATGAAATAGTCTCAGATTTTTCAGCAACTTGAATTCTAGATAAGGGATGCTCAGCCTATAGTTTAAAAAGGATTTATATTTGATTTTGATTTTTAGAATTACTTGGTAGAAATATAGACAGGGAAGTTTTTGTTTTGCTTTTTAAAAAAAAATCACTAGAAAAGCCAGTCTCTGTTTAACTTTTAGCACAAATACTACGCACGCGCGTGCACACACACATACACACATGTAGACTGGGAGCAAATATCATTTTATATGTATTTGTTGAAAAATAAACATTCATAATAGCCTGAAACTATTCCAGTAGTCACCATTCTAATAAGCAATATTGATCATTAGTAGGTGTTTGTTTTTTCCTCCCTCCCTACTAGTTGTTTTGAATGTGCAATATGTTGCCAGGAATATTCTAAGTATTTTACATGTGTTAACTTAAAAAATTTCCTCATGAACTAATGAGGTAGATAAAGCTATTGTTCTCATTACTAGGGCACAAAGAAACCATAGTACTTGAAAATTTAGGGTCTGAACATGTGGATGCAGTCCTTAAAATTTGTGCTGTTAGCGGTTTTGCCTTCAGTTTTCTGTAAGTGCACCATGGGACTCTGTAATAGAGCCATGATTTCCTTTCATCCAGAAGAGACAGATAGTCTCACTGGGAAATACTATGAACTCTATATTTATTGGAATGCTACACTGTGAGTAAAGCTGTCTTCAAAAATGAATGAATAAATAAAATAAAGCCACTCAAATTCAATAATGTAAGCAGAAAGATGTATTAATTGCTCTTAGTAGAATGTGGGACCTGTTCCTCATGGCAACTGGGAATCTGGGCTCTTTCCCATCTATGGAATTCCCACACTTGGTTTCACACAGCCTTCTCTGTAGATCTCCAAGCTGTACATTCTTGGGAGCCTTGGAGTGGCTTACAGCTCATGTACACCTTGGTCCACAGCTCTGCCACACTCTGGCACTTGACTGGAGGTGTCTAGGGACTTCTGGTTAGCTGTGTACCTGAGAGAAAGAAAGAAGTGACTTTGCCAATCCAAAGATAAGATATGTAACTAAGAAGATGATTAGATTTGCAAACTTGGGAATTAGGTTGTTTTTTTTTTTTTTTTTTTGGGTCCAGTCGTGGGGCCTGAACCATTTGGGCCTGGGTGCTGTCCCTCCGCTCTTCAGCTCAAGGCTAGCGCTTTACCACTTGAGCCACTGTGCCACTTCCAGCTCTTTTCTTTTTGTTTATGTGGTGCTGAGAAATCGAACCCAGGGCCTCATGCATGCAAGGCAAGTGCTCTACCACTGAGCCACCTTCCCAGCCCGAATTAGGTTGTTTTATATAACTTCCAGTATAATAGACTAGCACTTTCAAAATACTGATGTCAAGAAGTTTATCTAGATCTAGCTGTAGACAGCAATGTGTGCCTTGATAGAGAACTGAATTTTTACAATAGTTGTACTTGTTGCTGTCTTTTGATGCCAGTGCATGGTACAGTCTTATGTTTTTTTCTAGTTCTTTTATAATGTTCCAGAACCCAGGTACATGCTCTGTCAGTGCTGCAGTGATGAGATTGTACTGGACAGCTCTTTGGTACTGTCAGTGAAAAACTATTGACTACAGGCAGGCATTCTTAGTCCTTATCAAAAACCTTGTCTGTCCTGATAATCCCTTCTTGGGTGGGGAACCTTTTTCTTGCCAGAGGCCATTTGGATATATGTATAACATCATTATGAACCATAACCAATTATCAGTAAAGGCAGATGGACTACGCATAGCCAGTGAGAAACACAGTATCCCTCCTGTCATGATTTCAAAGGGCCTTAGATGGCCTGCAAGTTCCCCACGCCTGCTTAACCAAAAATGTTGCTCATCTTTAGCTTGTTTAATGATGTTTTCTGCTTCAGTGTAAAGAGGTCTAGTAACTTTCACTGCATTTAAGTATAGAAATGATGGCATTTTTCACTTTTCTCTCATAAAGGCAAGGTTGTAACAAGAGTTTTTCTCTCATCTGTGTAGAAGATGTTCCCTGTCCACATAGAAACTATTATAAAAGTACTGTTTGTTCGCTGTATTCAAGTTACCCTGGTTCCTGTCCTGGATCTCTTACAACTTCAGTAGTAAATCAAATCTTCTTGGACTTTTCCAATTGCAGAAGTATTAGAACATATTTTACTAGCAAGTTTGCATTCTGTTTTGAGTTTCTCATGCTTCTTAAAGAGTTTCTTAATTCATTAATTTCCAAAATACATTTAAAAATTACTGTTACTAAACTTACCTCTATTAATTATTTTACTAAACTTTAAAAATAATTTTGTAGGTCTGATGTGGCCACATAGTCACACATCCTTCATGATAGATTTAAATGAAAAGGACTCTGAATGAATGGCAAAAAAAATTGAATCAAGAGTTGAATACATTTTAAAATAATTTAACTTAATTCTCTACAGATGGTCCTTCTGTAAAAGAAACAACAGGACCCAGTAGACAGATTTTACAAGGTAAGACAAGCTATTTGTGTATTTTATAATTGTATGGATCCAGTTCTATAAGTTTTAGTTGTCTTAAATGTTTAAGAAAATTACATAATTAAACTACATTTTAAAGTGTTTGCCTCCTTAGTGATTATTCTCTATATGCCCTATTAGGTAAGTCAGCCAATATTCCTTTGTCCCTTGGTTTTTCCCTCATATTTAGTATATAAATATCCAGGCCCATGGCTTTAGTAACACTGAGCTAATACATTTGATGTTTTTGCATCATTACTCTTCTCCCATCAATAACATTCAATATGTTCCTATTCTGTGGGGAAGTTTAGAGCTAAAAAGTGAAGTACAAGCTGGGTGCTGGTGGCTCACACCTATAATCCTAGCTATTCAGGAGGCTGGGTTCTGGGGATCACAGTTCAAAGCCAGACTGCGCAGGAAAGTCCATGAGACTCTTATCTCCAATTAACCACCAAAAAACCGGAAGAGGTGCTTCTGGGTTTTCCTGAAGAGGTTTATTTTGTCTTCTAGACACTATTTTTCCATTTATAAAATTTACAGAATTGTCTTAGAACAGTTTAAGTTGAAATAATGACTTTAGATGCAGCTATGTCAAAGCTATAATTTAGTTCTAATTTTTTTTAAACTTTCGAAAATCACAGGTGATAGGAAAGGAAGTTAAATATGGCCTTCTGTTGTCTTTTATACAAGCTGTTAGGAGAATAACTTTAGTGGCCTCAGGAAATTCTAGTCCCAGATGGTAATGATTTTAGTCACCAGCAGAGGGTGCTATGTGTATTGTGTATTTGGAATTACAAATTTGAGCTTTTTTTTTTTTTTTTTAGTTGAATGCTATTACTTCCCCAAACACATTATTTTATTTAACTTTTGTACTTTTTTCAGTCAAATGTTTACAATAATTGTAAAAAAACAGTTTGATTCTGGGCTGGAAAGGTGGCTCAGTGGTAGAGTGCTTGCCTCACATACATACATAAGGCCTGGGGTTCGATTCCTCAGCACCACATAAGCAGAAAAGACCAGAAGTGGCATTGTGGCTCAAGTGGTTGAATGCTAGCTTTGAGCTGAAGAGCTGAGGGACAGCGTCCAGGCTCAGAGTTCAAGCCCCACAACCGACAATAAAACAAAAAAAACAACAACAAACAACAACAACAAAAAACAGTTGTTTCTGTACTTCATTTGATAATATTACTATTTATTGAGAGCAAGTATACCAGATGTTGTAATATCAATATTCTGGAGGCTCAGAAAGGAGGATAGCAAATTTGAGGTCATTCTGGGCTACATAGCAAGCTATTCTCACTGAGGCCGTAGGACTATATTATGAGATCCTATCTCAACAACAATATGAAAGAAGAAACAGAGGCAAGAAGGGGGAGAGAGAAAGAGGGAAGAAGAGAGGGAGGGAAAAAAGGAAGTAGAGAAGGAAGAAGGAAGGAAGGAATGCAAATATAACTTACCATTTAGATTCAAAGCCCTGTTGATTGATAAATGAAAAGATTATTTAGGTTCTGAAATTGTTATTGTCTTGTTATGTAACTATTAAGCAGTGGATATACTTAGGGGTTTTTCAAATCAATATCTCGTTTTCTATATATGAAATTGAGTACAGTTCTAGGAAATACTGCCATTTCAATTTGCACAGATGTTAGATACCATGTTTACTTCTGTCCTGCTTTCCCCGTAGGTGTATTTTTACACATCTTGGCAGATACACTTGGGAGTATTGGTGTCATTGCTTCTGCTATCATGATGCAGAATTTTGGTTTGATGATAGCAGATCCTATCTGTTCAATCCTCATAGCCATGCTTATTGTTGTAAGGTAAGTGCTGCACTGTGTTACTTCCAACTATAAGGCAGAGAGAGGCAGTAAATCTACAACCTAAATTATAGGTCTAAAATACCAACAAGGATATTGTTTTCCCTTTGATCCTTAAGAAGTTCTTAGTAGATTCTCTTTTATCTTCATAGTTTTTCTGTGTTTCTCATTTATTTTTTTCTTGGAGGGAGATATTCCTTTTTGCTATTTGGTAGTTAAGTTTTTCATCATAACTCAAATTAGCAGTCATTTTTCTAAATCTGACACTGTGTAATGTAAAGCATTGGACATGTAAAATGTATTAATTACAGTTGGAATGTTATATAGTTAACATCTAAATCTAGATCTCCATGTCTATAGGTATCTCTCTTAGATTATCAAATGCAAGTAGAAAGTCTTATCTACTAGAACTATTTTTAAAGTCACTTATGTTGCAGAAATCTCATAAAAGTTTTTGCTGAGATAAATTTATGTCTAGCCTTCCCCCTCATTGAGATGATATAGTTTTTGAAGGTGCATCTTACTCTTAACTCTTTATCATGTCATTGCCTGACACAGTGCTGTTGTTTTGTGTGTGTGTGTGTGTGTTTGTGTATGTATGTGTGTAGGTGTGTAAATTCTCGTAATTGCTGAATTTGATTATGTAGTTAGTTTCATCGGAATTTCTTTTATCCTGGGATATTTTTGAAGGAGTAATAAGGTTATTTGTAAGTGTTCCTTTATTTGACTATCTTTAGTTTCTTAGAAATTTGCATAGTATGTCTTAATCAGAGTGTTCTTATTTTTCCATATGACTTTATTCAGTAAAATTTTCTTTGTAATGATAACCAAGACAAATAGAGGTCGTATTATGATTTTTTTTTATAGCTCATAGTTGAGAAGGGTGATTGTAATAGAGTGTGATAAAAATTCTAATGTTAAAACCAGTCATAAATGGAGAGATTCAAGGTTCGGCCCAAAAGTAAAGATTTAAACATTTAGGTGACTTTTAAATTTCTTAATGTTATTTGTACAAGGAAGCACCTCTGTTATAGGTGTTTCTAAAGCCTAGAAGGCCTTTTCTTCATCTTGGAAATCTTACTCAATTGGCTAAGTTCAGCATGGATGGTTCATATTCTAGAAAGCTTGACTCCTTTTGTATTCATTTGTTATGTATTATAGTCATAGTTGTTTACTTCTTAAGAGTAGCATCTCAGTATTTACTTTTCTTTGTCGCCACTATTATATCTTGTTTGGATAACTGACAATCTCCAAGTTGACCTGTCTCTCTCCCTCTAGACTTTTCCCAGTGGCTCAGGTAATATTTCTCTGATGAAGAGTATGTGACATATAAAATGATCTTGCTTTAAATTAGTTCTTGCCTATTCTCCTGAGGATAAAGTCAGTCTTGAGGCTCTCAATTCTGGCTCTTCAGTTCCCTAAGTGTGTATGAGTTCTCTAGTTTCCAGGCTTTGCTCATGTTTCCTCTGTCCCAAACCATGTTACATTTCATGCAGCCTCACCCCTTCTTCCTCCCCTCCCCCACCTCAAGCCTTTCAATCTTTCAGATCAGATTTAATTTAAATGGTTCCTCATTAGGAAATATCTCCCGATTCTCTCTCTCCCAGGTGAGGTGAAGTACAACCATTTCACACCTATTATATACAGAGAGTCAGGGTTATTGCCTCTGTCATGCTCTCTGAAGGCAAACTGTTCCATTGTTTTACAGTGAGTATCTAATTCTGCCTGGAAGAAAAAGTTGACACATTAACCTTGAATCAGAATAGAATTGGTTTTTTCTTTTAACCAATCTTGGCAAATTACTTGGAGTTCTAAGTAACAGATTTATTTAGTTCTGTTCTTATTTCTTTATGTCACAAAGATAATGAATGAATACAACACAGGATTTTTTAAAATCAAAATATATCCCATTTTTAAAAAACATGCAAAATTATTTCCAGCAAATACATTAGTAAGTATACGTTTCTAGCCAGGGTCTGAGATAGACAAGATCCTTCCTGTTTTAATCTTATATGATAGGGGAAAGATAGAGAATGAAATTAATAAATAAACCATTCAAAGATCAGTCATTTGTGCAAAGCTAAAATAGGATAATAAGAAGGTATGTAAGTTGTTACTTTACATTTGAAGGAGTCTTTAAGCTGAGATCTAGATGTCACAGGAGAGTTTGATGAAAGAAAATATTTCTAGTCTAAAAGGCCAGCATAAACTTCTTGCACTGTAAGCAACTTTGGCACAGAAAAGAGGCCAGAATTGTTGAGATAAAGTTGGAGAAATAAGCCAGGCAGAAATAGTCACACAGGGCTTAGAGTTTGGATTTTATTTTCCAGTCATTGCAGTGGGAAATCATAAAGGAGTGACAATATTTTAAAAATCCTTTTTACTAAAGTTGGGGGAAGATTATACATACAACCAGAGCAGGTAGAAAGTTATTACCATGACTAAGAAGCCATGGTCGTTTGATCTAAGGTAATAATCTAATCTAGTAAGTAGAGGGAGACAGGGATAAAGTTGGCAAAGTCTCTGAGTAGAGCTAGCAAGATTTGTTCATGGTATGAGTGCATGGTCAGGGCTGAATGAACAAGGAAAAGCACAATGCTTTCTAGAGATTTCACCTGGCTGAATTGAAGGATTTTTTTGGGGGGGGGTAGGGTGGGGGGGGTCCAGTCGTGGGGCCTGAACTCTGGGCCTGGGCGCTGTCCCTCAGCTCTTCAGCTCAAGGCTAGCACTCTACCACTTGAGCCACAGCATCACTTTCAGCCTTTTCTGCTTATGTGGCGCTGAGGAATCGAACCCAGGGCCTCATGAATGTGAGGCAAGCATTCTACCACTGAGCCACCTTCCTAGCCCCTGGTTTTGTTTTTTCTTTTAAAGATCACCTTCTTTATTTCATTGACCATTCTTGTCTTTTTTTTTTTTTTTGTCGGTTGTGGGGCTTGAACTCTGGACCTGAGCGCTGTCCTTGAGCTCTTTAGCTCAAGGCAAGTGCTCTAGCCACTTCGAGAAGGAGTTTTGTTGAAAGAGAAAAGGCTGGGAGAAATGTTTTTCAGAGTTGACTCCAGATCAGAAGTTCTGTTTAATGGTTGTAATTTTGGGATTTCTCAGTAGATATTTATGTGGAAATTTCAAGGAGGTGTATGAGTATTCAAAAATGGAATTCTTGGTAGTGGTCAGCTAACCGTAAGACCAAACTAACGGTATAAAGTTTCCAACTGTATGAATGCATTACTCCCATTTCTCCCATTTGCTTGGAAAATATCCCTTGATATGGTACTTCCAAAATAGTGCTAGTCACAGCTAGCAAACAGCCAACATTTAGCTTCCAGTGGCAAAACCTATTCGTTATCTTTGTCTAGATCCTACTGACCAAAATGTAGATATTTTTATTTTATATATACATATATACATATATATGTAATGTGTGTTATATAATTGGATTTCTTTTAATGGTAGCTTTTAACATTTGTATTATTTGTTCTTTTTATCAGATAACCAAAGTAATACAGGCTGATTGTACAAAAAATTCATTGTTGAACTGTATAATTTAGCTATTGAAATGTCTCATAATCCTACCTTCTAGAAAGAATAGATAACTGTAATCTAACTTAAAATTGTTCAACAAATACTGTGGTGTCCACTCTGTACCAGGCACTTAACAACATAGGCAAGGACTTTATCTTCATGGAACTGACATCATTACGGGGGTGACAGCCAGTGAAGTAAGTGAATATGCAAATACATAATTAATGTAATGTCAGTGGGTGAGCAGTGCTATGAAGCAGGGTAGGAGGTGGTGTCTCAGAAGGGCCCGAGAAGTCCCCTGCATGCGGTGACATTTGAACAGACCTGAATGGAAAGAGCAGGGCATGGATCTGTTAGAGGAAGAGCATTCCTAGTGATCGCTATCATCTATAAATGCACTGAGGCAGGAGTCTGCTGGGCTGTGTAGCTGGGGTGAAATGAGCAGGGCAGTGTAGGGCTGGGTTGGGGTGAAAGATACATTTGGGTGTCATAAGCTCCCATATGATATTGACAGCCATGAGATTGGGTGGGAAGAGAGAAGAGGACAGAGGACAGCTCTGAGGGAGGTGAGGACAGGAGACAGCAACAAGGAGGAACAAAGTAGAGTAGAGTAAGGAGAACAGAACAGAGCCACATTGTGTTAGAGGCCCTGTGAAGAAGCATTTCCCTCTGGAAGGGATAATTGGCCCTAGTAACAGCTCCTGGGAATGGTACTTGGCTGACATGACAGACACCACACTCCGAAGAGTGATAAGAATGAAGAGTAGCCCTGTAGAGACTAGGAGGGAGGAGGCGTGACTGGCAACTGCAGTCAGCTGTTGAGCCTTCTGCGTTGCAGGGGAGCTGAGGGATTGCCTGGCAGCCCCGAGGAGGCCACATCGGGGTTGATGGTCATGAATTTAAAGGGAAAACAGTCCACACAGTTGCAGGGTTTTCTCCAGCCTTCTTTAGCTACTTGGTAAAAGTTAGAGAATTGTCAGAGAATTGGACTGAATAGATTTGGCATTTTTGTCAGGTGAGTACTGACAATGAGAAAGGAGCAAGGTGGAGGCTGTGCTGTGAAAGTAAGATTGGAAGGCTTTTTTTT